TTGGGATTTCCTTGGAACATGCTTTACTCAAATGTAAATGTTTCAGAGCTGGAAAAATGGTTTGTGAATGGAGTGATCCCCAGCACTCACATAAAAGACACATCTGTAACTGTAACACCAAGTAAGCTGAAATGAGGGATCCCGACAGATTCTTATTTACCAACTAGAGTGAAAAGCTGAGGAAGATACCCAGAATTAACCTCTGTCCTCCACACTCATGTACATGAAACACACAGACATGCGGCAAAAATCTTTTAAATATTGTGGGACATAAAGAACAAAATGTGTCTTATTTCCAGTTTTAAATTAAAGACTTAAAGCATCCAAATTAAAGAGAGAAGAATGAAGGATGGATGGAAGAAAGGAGGGAGGGAGGGATTGAGGGAGGGAGGGGAAAGGAATGAAGGAAAGAAAAGGAAGGAGAGAAAGAAAAGGAAGAAAGAATAAAGGAAGGGAGAGAGGGACGAAGGGAGAGAGAGAGAGAGAGAGAGAGAGAGAGAGAGAGAGAGAGAGAGAGATTTGGCAGTTGTAAGCAAAACCCCAGTTTACTGTGCAGCAGCAGGAGGATCTTGGAAATCTATTCCTCCTCCCTTGCAAGGTGGCAGGAAGGACGTTGAATGGCACATCACCTGACAGTTCTTCTCCCCATTATGAAATGCTCACTGCTTCCTTTCTGCTTTTATTTTTCCCCTTCTATCTTCCAGAACGTATCATTCATCTTCCGAGCAGTTGTGTCAGGGGAAAAAAACAGAAGAAAAGAAAATGAAAGATGAAAAGACACTCAACAGAAAATACTGAGATGTGTAGAGACAGAAAATTGACATGGGGAAGAAAGAGAAGGAAGAGATAAAAGATCCAAGACTCAAGCAAAAAGAATTCAGGAAAGATTGGACCACATAGTCAGTGATATGGATGGGACTATAGTCAAGCAAGAAATCTGCCTTTAGATTTGTGTTGATACCCACTGCCCCTTATATTAATTTTTCCCTAGGTCAAGAGTGCATATTTGGTGTGAAAGCCAGACCTGTGAAACAATAAGGAAGTGCAATATGTTCCAATTTGAAAAATCATACTTATAGAATAATAAATTGGAGATTGCTTTTAAAACAAGAACTTCCCTCATGAAGTTGTAAATTGAATATTCACTTGAGGGATTTGGAAGACACAAGCACAGGTGAGTTTCTATGGGGAAATCACCTGCTTCCTGAGCAAACTTAAAATGATGGAAGCAAGCACCTAATGAGGACAGTGGTTCTGCTGGGAAGGAGACTCATGAAGAGACTAGAGAAATGTGAGTTGTGGGAAGCAGGAAGAGGCAAGAGAGCTTGGCCTTCTGGGAGTTTCCCTATTCTCTGCCTCTACTGTTTGTGAAGAAAACAATGAGATTTGATGGTGGTGGCCGAGTCCAGCAGTTGGCTACACTGAACTAGAGAAGTGTGGCTGGCAGAAAATAGGAAATGTAGTCAGACATGCACGGTTTCTATAGTCACTGATCTGCACAGGCTCCCATCCATCTTCTCTCCTGATCAAGAACTCTGGTTGGGCTGGTTGCTGTTTCTACTAAAGATAAAAGGCTCAATTGTACAGTGAAAAACATCTAGAAACAGAAAGAAAATCTTTCCAAAAGTAATAAGGATGAAGTAGGCATAAAAGGTGTGAGAAAGGGGACAATTACTTTGTCCTTTGGAGATACCTGAAGAGGATTCCTAGGCACGGTATAAAAGATGAATGAGGTTATATACGGGCTTTTGGAAGTGATAGCTTTGGAAACTACGAGAAAATGGAAGTAATATAAACATGAATGATTTCTAGACCACAGTCCTTTGAAAGCAATAATAAGCCACAAGTAGATATTAGACAGGGTTTTCAAGATTTAAACAAGCCATGACAAACTATCCCACAGCAGAATTTTACAATGAACCAACATGCAACCTAGGAGCCTAAGCATGGCCAGTTAACTTCCTCCAGCACCTACACCTGCTTCTAGCATCATTTCAGATTTCAGATGGTGGACAAATGTTGACTTGTATCTCAGTGTCTGCTCAGCTGAGGCACGTCCTCATTCCTAAAGTGAGATGTTTCTGAGACAGGCTTGGATTTCCCAAGCCCTTTCACGCTTAGTCAACCTGACTCCACTGAGGTAGGTTCTCAAAGGCATTGCTGTTTCACAATATGCCCTGTCATCCTCAGGCTCACTCTTATATCATGAAGTGCTGCTGTATAAACTAATACCATTACAAACATGCTACATTTAAGAAGCATCTACTCCCTAACAGTGTAATAGAGGTTATTTTCCAGTGTTTCAAAAAAAGTCCTTACGAAGTCCTAAGCTGCAGTATATTGATAACATTCTGGTGTTTCCAAAAGATTACTGTCCAGGGAATATCTCACAATCAAAATGGTTAAAGGACCATCGAAGTTAAAACCCTCTGTATTGTCCCACCAGAGTAAAGTGGATCATGTGGGCAGCAATTATGTAATCATCTTCTTGATAAAGGTGAACCTTAAATATAGCATTCTATTGCTTTAAACCTACTCCTTTTGTTTTGAAAGTTTTTCAAATTTTAATAATTTCATTATCTCAAAGATTTAGGCAATCTAACCCTACTATAGGGAACAGAAAACTCTTGGGACAATTAGTATTTGGACTACAGGGTGCTAATATAGATGTCTGGTTTGAGTCAGTTAAAACATGGCTGACACCAGACATTCAGGGGATTATGACATAACTGACATTAGACATTCAGGAACCTATAGTTAACAATGGTGTAATGTTATATTCCTGGAAGAATGCCACTTTTATGTGTTTTACAGAAATAATGCCCTTGAAAGCAGAGGTGAATACCCTCACTTTTTGTTTTTGTCAGCTAGACTGTGAGGACTGTGAAACTACCCACAGTTTGTGTGCTGGACTGTACATGTGTCAATGCCATGGGTGAAGCCCACATGTACAAGGATGGGTCTGGTTGCTTGAAGCATCTGCCTGACTAGTAATCTATGTGTCCAAGGTTGTTTTGTCTGCCTACGTCTCCCATCTTCTTCAACCTTACACCCTCTGATGGCACTCACTTTCCTGGCTTCAGAGCCTGAACTTCATACCTGTTGTCTGTTGGACAGCTTCCTTATGTGACTGTTATTTCAGACTGAATTCAAAGAATGCTTAAGTCACGTTAGGGATGTTTTCAAGAGCATTTTTTTTTTGTAACTTGCTTCTGCCAGCACACCCTCACTCTCCTGTCCCATTAGCTTTCATAGTAGAAATGTTTGGTTTACTTTTTTGGTTTGAATACAAGATGCTATCGTGAATTCAAACACCAACTTATTTAAAGCCAAGCACATGCCTATGCTTTTAGAAAACTTTTGTCTGCACAGAGAGAAGTTTTTTTCTTGGTCTTCATGGGCTGAGGAGTTGTTTTGCCAAGGATAGAGATGAGAATTTTCAGTTATTCCAGCTTACTTCCACCTTGTAACAGCCAAGCCTTGTATATCCAGTAACTGGAGAACTAATGCAGCAGGTAGTCATTGGCTTCCAAAGATGTGGGCTCCAAGATCACCACCACCAAGACAGACCTAACAACTCCTTTACCTTACTTCTCATGTGTTTAGTCTACCTTTTGTACATTCTTTTGAACTGAACTGTACCCTTAAAATAGTAGCCAAGGTATCTAGTTTTTGTACTAACTCCCAATTTTCTCTTCTACCACACTGCTTACCAAATATACCTTAGAGTCACATTAAAAATTATTTTTATCAAAAATCCCATTTTAATACACACGAAGCTCTCTGATTTGTATCAAACCCTGAATTATTGTCCTCATTTTATAAATTGTGACATTGCCCCAGCTCTCATAGTTGTAGATGGTTTCTTCAGACTATCATTTGAATTAACCACTAGTACTGCTTACCTCACCTGGCAAGGGACTTATCTTCCTGCTAACTCATAAGATCAGATCTATTGTTTTAAAAGAGGTTAATAGACAATAGAAACTTGCTTTTTAATCATTCTACTTTATGCTATTTGAAAATACAATTGCTAGTCTGAGAGGTGCATGCCATGCATCACAGCACACTTAGGAAGTTGGGAAGGATTGTGAAGTCTCAAGAGTTGTGAATCTGAGGCTAGCCTGGGACAAGTGCTGAGTTGTAGACACCCAGCATGACCCTGCTTCAAAAAAGCAAAAGCTCCAAATACAAAGGCAAGTGACAACTAATTTTCAAGTAGAAGAGTCTGCAGATCAGTTCGCTTGACATCTTATTTTACCCAGCTTTTTAAGGACACAAGAAACAAAACACACTGTACAATATTTCTATTAGCCAAAAGAATCAAGTGGCCAACCTGTAATCTATTATGTGCCTGAGACTTCTGCAGAGAGCATGAGCTAAAAGGGCAGTCATTGCTTTAATGACTTATAACTTCATGAACCTGACAAAGCAGTTTGTCCTTCTGCGGCACTGATAATTTCTGCATCTATTATATGGTCTCCATCCAAGTAACTGTAATTCCAGGAAAGGGCCCCACCAGTGACAACAAAACACTCTACATTCTGACAGCAAAATACTTTCCAAAGGGCAACTAATGTTAAATTACCAGGATTAAGCAGAATCCCACTTACTCTACTTATAGATTTTACAAATCTACCTGAGAGGTAGCTAGTGAAGGATTTTCACTAAGATTCATCCACACAGACAGAATTCTGACCTCTGTTTTGGTAGAGACTGGGAAAATGTGAACTTAATAGCATCTTTTCTTTTACCAGACAGCTCACTACTATCTTTCAAAAAGAATAAATCAAGTCTCCACTATAGCAGTGTGTAAGTGTGTTCAGAAGAGCCACCTTTTTGCCTTTTTTATTGCTACAGTGGTGGGAACAGGTAAGTTGAGATAGTCTTCTGTAAGTCCTAGGAGACTGTGGACGTCCAACAATCTTGGAGGAGTAGCAGAGGCATTTAGTAAATGCACCAGCCTGGCCACAGTAAGTGTAATGAGCTCGTACAGACAGTACAATGAGATGTGGTGTATTCAAAACCCCTTACATCTTTAGCATTAACCTTGGGCACATGGCATGGATTTCATCACATTTAGGTACAAAAAATGGACAATGAACACTCAGAAAATAAACAAAGAAGAAAATTATTTTTTTAACAAAGTAATATTTTCAACTGCTTTCACAAATGCTTTTATGTGAAAATATTCATATGAAAAAGCAATACACCACTCTGTTTCACTTGGTCATCATTACCTTTAGGTTTTGACACAAATGGAACCTGACAATCAAATAGCAGTACATAGGCTCAGGGTTATGTACAATTCTGTGATCAGAGAATTTGTAATGCAGGCGATGTTGTACACATCTATCTGAGGGCACAGAATACACAGGTAAAGGAAAATAAATACAGTGAGCTAAACAATCAAAACTACTACAAAAAAACCCACCAATTTTGTAATGTGTTGACTCACAAATGAACAGTGTCTTTAGTATAAAAATTGCATTTCTACAAAGCTGTAAAGAAACAAATAAAACCACATTAGAAATGAGTCAAAGCCACAGGTGAACTTCAGTCTACACAAAACTTTAGAGAATATGCCTCTGAAGTCCACATGCTAGAATCCACATGAAGCTGTCCAAGGTTTCTCGGTTGAACCTCCTGCTTTGGCTAGCTGCTCAAAGAACTGATCCAGCAGGTTTCACCAGACTTTACCTTGGCTTTTGTCAGACAAGATACAATCTCACAAGAACCAATTCAATGAGGTAAAGAAACACAACGATGGAAGAGTTCTTGTTGGCACAAAGATTTACACAAATACTTTCCAAACAGTTGATAGATTTGACAGGCTAGTTAATCACACATGTACAATACTGGCAGGAATAACAGCAGGATACTAAGAGGAAGAACACAGAAAACCTGTACACACCAGCAAAAGCACCAATCTCTCCTTCTTTCTCTCACATCATCCTTAGGATTTTGATCCTGAAATATCTCTCACCCTTTTCAATTCTTTAAGACATCCCTTTGAACTCGACTGTTTCCCAACTCGCAAAAAGCCACATGGTAGATATTCCCTTAACTAGCATTTTAATCTCCTCCCCAAAAGATGTTACAAGGTGAACTTAATTGATGCTTACATATATTCAAACCACATGGCAATATTTATCAGCTAGGGGTTGGCCCTAAAAAGTGAGAGTGTAGCTTTTCAGCTGTCCAAAGCTTATCTGTGTCAAGCTTGTTTGCCCTCCATTGCACTAGTTACAATAGATAACAGGTACAGATCCTACGTACAGGATGAGACTGCAGCGACTGCCATGCCGCACAATGGCCTGTGCAGTCAATGAGTCATCTCTTCCATGTTCCATGATTAGCCTTCAAAACAAAACAATAACAACAACAAAAATGTGAACTGCCTGTGCATTGCTTCCATGAGATCCTAAGCAAGCCAGTGTGGTTCAGCATGGTTAAGGGGGTGAAGCGTTAAGAAAAAAAATTAAAAAGAGGTAATGGAATTTTCAGATATTCCAATCAAGAACAAGGCACCTTTCTCTAACTACCTGTCCATAAAGCACTATACACCCTCATTCTACAATTGCTATCTCATTCACCCGATTTTAACATACAGAAAATAGCAATCTACAATTAAATAGCATGTATGGCAATAGAGGAGAAGCATTGTAGTTTTGGTTTTATAAAATCATGTTTCCATGCACTTAACTTCTGGATTAAATTTATTATGTACACAAAAAAAGAAGTAGTATTAAATGTTTATCTAATCTTAAGTTGATTTTTCCTTTAATTTTATATTAACAAAATATTGAAAATAAACCTAAAGGCTTCAAATGGAAAGAAATTAAGTTCTTGGACTATTTACTAGAAATCCAATTTTTGCCAGGATGTTAAAAACAGAAAAGCTAGGAAAAAATGATTCCTACAAGTAAATATAATTTTAGTGGACTAGACCCTCTTCTCCATGACTTTTTCTCCATGCCTCCAATATCTTTTACTAAGTATTACTAAGAAAGAAAATATATTTTCTCATTATCCTATTAGATAGTATTTTTGGCCCAATTGGAACCTAGTTTTAAAACACTTATCAAAGCCAAGGCAGATTATAAGCCTTCAAGCTTGCCCTCTGGTCAAATACCCCATGAAAACCCAGTATGTCACTGCAGAGGAGAGTACTTCACAGAATAGAGACGCAAGCCATCCCTTTCCCACTACTCTCAACTTAGATGTACTATTTCTTGAACACTCCATGCATCTGATTACAAGGGAAAGAAGGAAATACACTGGCAGAAGAGAATGTGCAGCTCAGCTCTAGCAGGAAGATGAATAGGTACCACAGAACCATGGCACTTTTGAGTTAAGGATGTATCAGAAGGGCAGAAACATGGAAGGGCAGTAAGATCTCCAGTTCTGTGATGGCCTCAGCCTTGAACTGGTAGTTAACTAAGTTACAAAGATGAAATAAAAACATTTATAAAGAATGGATTGTCACAATAAAGTCTTCCTTTGTGCAAGATGTGTAGCAGCCTTGTGCAGTACAGGAGGGCAGATTCTGAACCTCCATTACCAATGACCCTTCTGTTGGCAGGTAATGCACAGAAAAGGTTATCTAAGCAGCCAGAGAAATACACTACATATCTCTTTTTAAATTGATGAAACATTTTTAATTTCACAAACCTGTACTCATTATTCTGACTCAACCCTAGGGGAAACTGATTGACTTTAGTCTCGTAGCTTTCATATAGCTAGAATCTAATTTTATGTATTTATTCTCAGACATGAGAGGGTAAGAGAGGAGATGGAGGGTTTTTTTTTAAGGAAGCTGCGTTCCTTGATACTGATATTGGATTGAGCAGAGAGAGATTTATGATCATACAATTGTCTAGAGGATTAAGGGAGACAGAAACAAATCAAATCGTTCACCTCTTGATATTGACTTTCATTAATTTTTTTTCACCAAAAGCACATCACTAAAGGCAAAGCAGACATACCTTTTCAGTTGTTATTAAAGTGGTTCCAGAGAGGTTCCTTGAGATAGAAACTAAACACCACAGATATGAAGTCAGCTTTATAAAACTACCTTATACTGACAAAACTTAGAGTGCTTTGGGTTCAGAAAAAAAAACAAAGAATGTGGCTGAAGAAACTCTTGAAGAAGATGTTGTTTATCCCTGCCCTATGAAACCACCACTACCTTTGCAGAGAGTACAGCATGTCTTTGAGATGAGTGGCAGTCTTAGCCTCATCAGCTGTGGTTACTGATTACAAGCTTTACTTCAAATAAGGGTAACCCATGCAGACCACTGCTGTCTGCTCTTCTCACTACAGAGCAGCTGTGAAATGTGGGAGTCTGTAAACTCAAAGAAGAAAAGTCATAGAGATTCAAGGTAGGAAACAAAAGACAACACGGACCAAGGGAGCTTAGATGACTCCCTAGCTCCACCTTGAAGCTGTATCTATATACAGGTCTTTACAACTTCTAGCCCCAAGACAGTTCTGGGTAGCAGTGTACATGTGTTCTGACATGACTAAAACACATGCTTAACAACGAAGGCAAAGACTTCCTATACTTCAAGAATGCTCTGGAGGGCTGCGGTTTCGCTCTCACTTTATAAAGCAACAGCCTCATTTCTAAGGTGCTAATGAGAACTGCAGAGGAGTTCTCTGATTTACTCACTGGCTCCCAAGCACATCAACTTGTTCTCCACAAGTCCCCACAAAGATCCTAACACTATGGTGGCTAAATGCTACACCTGAGTCTCTTTAGGACACTGAGGCTTACTACCATGTAACCACAGGTCCAGAGATCATCTTTTAAAAGTGAACATTGCTCATTCATAAAAACAAAACAATACAAAACAAACAAACAACTAAGGATTTGGCTTAAACTGCAGACCAGAGGGAAACAGACTTCTTTTTTTTTGGCCTGTATTTTTTTAGAAATGGCATAATGTAACCTATGATCCCTTGTTGGCATTCTGACTCTTGCGCTGCCTCAAGGAGTCTTCCACCACCTCCTGAGTGTCAGCTGGATGAGCTTCATCATCCTTCGGGGACACACTACCCTCCTTCACAACTCCTTGCTCATTGGTGTCACATCTCTCCTCATCCATGATGCCTGCCAAGTTGTCCTCTTCCTCATCATCTTCTGCCTCATCCTCATCTCCAAGGTCCTCTTTCTCTTCCTCATCATCCACAAGACTGTCTTTGTTTTCTTCTTCATTTGAGTCATCCTTTTCTTCTTCTGCATCCTGTAGCTGCTCAGCTCCTTGAGCCCCCTCGGGCCTCTGCTCCTGCTCTAAGAAGAGAAAACAAAACAAAACAAAACAATGGATAAACAAAGGCAACTTAGTAATTAATTCACTGTTTAACCATGAGATGAACAAATGGTGAGTTTTCTGCTCTTAAAGTGCTATCACATGAACAGGTTTTCTGGTTACAGCTTAGCCGCATGTAAAACTTTCATAACTCCCTACAGGTGCACCACTGACTGTAAGTAAGGCAGATGGGAACGGAGTACAAAGTCTTGTTTTATGGTATACACTATGTATTGCATGCTGTATAAAATACTAAATGACTCACTGGCCATATCAACAATTTCAGACAAGTTAAGCCAATTCAAGCCATACTCCCCAGGAGTTTGAGACCAATGTCAAGAAGAAAAGGTCTCCCCTTACCACAAAGTTAATTGATAAAATATGAGTTGGGAATACTAACAGCTACTGAATGAACTTTGGAAACATGGTATCACCTGGGCTGGGCTTGAAACCGGAGAACTCCTGCAGCAGTTTACACTGGCTGCCTTTTGCACTCCAAAATGCTGAAGGTCATACAAGCTTCCTAGCTGTCTATGAAGTCTTAAAATCTTCAAGAACTAAAGATATAACCTTATTTAAATTCCTGAGAAATTCAACACTACAAATAAAGTACATCTGAGCCGGTTAGGCCTAGAAGTAGATTTGGCATAGTGACAACTGTCATGGAGACTCAACCAATGACTAACCAATTCTTAGTTTCTCTAAGGATTTTTCATTCCAATTCAAGAGTGAAAGTTGTTCACTGAAAAATGTGAGGGATAAGCCCAATGAGAAAATGCAATCTTCAGTATAAAATATTTTCTAATTTTAAAAGGGGAAAGTAAACTTTATTCAAAGTTATATGGAGAACATATCTTTAGAGAGCTCAGTGCAGGTAACTGGAAGGTCAGTGAGAAGTGGAAAGCTACAGCCAAAAAGCTGAGCCACAGAATGTATGGTATTTTATGAAACTCTAAAAATTCTACCCATGAGAACTTCTCAGACTTACCACAGCGTTCAGAGGAAGCTCTTGGAAGAGGCACATAGAAGCATTCTGAGATCACCACCAGGATCTGGAGGAAACAAAGTTAACTTCAGACTGAGTAGAGAAGACAAACTACCAAACTACCAAGACTCCTTAACATCAGGTGTGTGTCCCTTAACCAGACACTTAGCAACTAGTCAAAATTTTCAGAAAGATACACTTGATGGAAGACTACTCCAGGGTATAGAATTCTTGAGTACTTCAAGAAAATAACTGGCCATATATAAGAAAATTCTGTAATACTGAGAACTAAATTCTATTTTAAGCAGAGACTGGATGGCTTCACCTCTGACCTTGATGTATGAGAAGTAGAGGGAGGTAGGGGGAAAGAGTGGAAAAAGAGGCGGGAGGGGAAGCTGTGGTTAGGGTGTAATATATGATAGAATAAATTAATAAAAATATATTAAAAAAGAATCTACTCAGGTTTAGATATTCAACTGGAGGATAGGAACAAGAATCTGGTCTGTCAACTAACCTGTTAGGTATATGCCTTGTCTTTACCACAGTGGTCAAAGCAAGGAGCTTTATGTGAAGTCATAGCCAACTTGGTTGTTTTGGAAAATGATTACCAATTCAAGTACAGTATTTATTTCTTTTTTAATTACTGTGTATTACTAGCAGCATTAATCTTCAGAACATTTAAGAAATAAGACTAGAGGGTGATAATAAATTTCTCATTATACTACACATTATCATTGAAACCAAAGAGCAAATTAACTGCTTAAATGACAGAAAATGCTATGTATATACTTTTCCTTTTATGGCCACCTTTTAATTTCACATGAAATCTTCTGTTTAAAGGACAAGAATAAAAGACTGGCAATGTCTTACCAGACCCATGAACAGGCCAAACACCAAAGTGGCAATGACGAAAAAAACGTAAGAACACCATGCAGGAATTCCAAGTGTCACTGTGAAATAGTTGTGAAGGTGCTGCAATCAAAAGAGAAATGAAATGTTTACTTGAAGTGTAGTCTGGACTGATTTTCATCAGTTTTTGTGAGTTCTGGGAATATTATTCAGTAACTGTTTTTATGTACTGCTGATGTCTAACTTGGAGCCTTTTAATTGTGCCTATTAATTGATTGGGTTGTAGTTTATGATATCAAACAATGACTCGACATGAAGAAGTATGGACTTGGCAAGTCTACCTCTAATTACACTTTGATTTGAAATGAACAGTTCATACCTGTAATTCATATGTTGTTTAACATTAGACAAATTAGGTGTGGAAACATTTAAATGGTTCATACTCTAAGGCATCAATCATTTTGCTTTATATAACAACTGAACCAAAGGGTTTTATATTTTAATAAATTTCATGTTAGTATTAAGTACTGAGGAAGAGGTAATGATTTCATAAAGGATATTAGAAAATCATTTGCTATGGAAACAAGAGCTGGCAAAGTAATTTGACCAGACCTATATCAAGACCCTGAACTCAAGAAAAAAAAATTAAAATTAAAAAAAAGATCCTGAACTCTAAAGAATAATTCTTAATAGATATTTTGATAATTACTATTTCTCAGCGCTACAGAATTTGACTTGTTCATTAGGAATCACTTGAGTATAAACTTTGGGCACATATGTGGAAAGACAGTTTGTAGACTAGAGGATGTATACTCTTGAGGAATTCAGGAACAAACTCGTGATCCCTTTCACACATATTTTAGAATCCTCTTAATACTATTCTTGCATGGAAGCAATCAGTAAGGACTCATTAGGCCAAGGTTTCTTGTATCCATTTATAGTATGAATATCTACAAGATGTACTCTAACAGCCTTCTGCAGGCTTCAAGAAAGGGACCTTATGGATGTAGAGCATCTCGATATAACTTGCTAAGAAAATGTATCAACATTGTGGTAAATGAGAAAAGAAATGTCCCCATCTAAATCACAGGGAACACACATGCATACATGCATGCACAAAAACTGCTATAGAATTTTATCTTAAGTCTGTTATTAGATCAAAAAATAAATTACTTATTTAAAGTAGTATGTTGTTTATAACCAGGAAGCAAGCAATTCAGACAAAATATTCAATAAATTTATGGCAATAAGCTCTCGCTACAGAGAAGGAAACAAATGGTCAAAGTACATACTAAAAACAAAGAAATAATTCAAATAATTGGCCTAAATAATTGTTGTAACTTTTAAGTGACTACATGTCATTATAAAAGCACATACAGCAGAGTGTTTTACACTAGTGGGCCACAATTCTTTTGGTGCTTGTAAATACTATACAGCTCCGTCACTGTAGTTCAACACTCAATAAACACCAGATACTATAATAATAATAATAGCTGCTCAGAGAAAGCTTTGTTTCTAAAACCAGAAAGCCCTTCCCAGGCTACAGTTTGCTGCTTTAGATACACAGAACGACGTTCATGCCTGCCTAGACAATCTTTGATCTACAAAGAGATTTTGCAAGAGGAAAATGAGATAAATAGAACCACATCACAGAAGACTTTTTGCCTTTATAAGCATGCATCACCAATGTAATAAAATATGAGTATGACACAGCTTCCATGAGTCCATCTTCAAATTATTCCTGTCTATAAATACGATTACTATGATGAACCAACCATCAAAGTAGTTTTATGGCTTAAGAATCATAAAAGTACTTACAATTTTCTTTTTTCCATTGTTTATAAGCTATATTTCTACTCTTTAAAAATATATATCTTCAAATATAATTGTTTAAAAGTACTCACCCAAATCTTGCCAGAGATGCTAAAAAGACCAGCCATTCCAGACATCCTATGAAAGAAAGAGAAGAATCCTGGTCAGATACAAAGACAAAACCATGCAAAGCTCAGGCCAGGGACCATACTTTCACTGAACCCATACTTGCTGTCTCTCCTTAATTCACGTCAATTCTCAAAAAGGTTAGATTTCCTGGTCATTATCTAGACCACTCAGCTGTAAATACATTCCAAATCTTTGACCCCTTAGCTTTTCATCATACAAAAATCAACAACTATGGAGAAATTATATATGAAGAAAGACAACATATCCTGGTGACAAAAGTAAGTATCGTCTAGTATAGTATCTTTCAGGATATAACTACCATAAATGTTCGTTTGCTTTTTCTTGTTTTTAATCCTGCACACCCTTGCTCCACAAGCACTGTAAGCTAACAAAGCACTCCTTGTATGTCACTGTAAAATTAGAAGGCATTAGGTGACCACTTTCATCTTCCTATCACCAAATTTGAACCTGGTGTATAACATATCACCTTTGTATCAACAGCAAAGTCTACCTGACCAGTTTATCAACCTGTGACTTGGATCTTAACCTGTTTGTTTTGTTGATGACATGATTCCATCATCCCTCCTTCCTGCATTATTGATTAGTCTACTTCTCCAAAATCAGTCTCTTTAGCATGAAGACATGTCATACTCACCTCCATCTTTTGAACTGTGCAACTCTTCCCCTCACAATGTCCTCAAGCTTCAGAACAAAATTATCTAAGAAGCAGTCCTCTCTTGCAATTCTTTCAGTGGTATGTCTTAAAATCATTTAAATCTGGATATATTCTAACCACCATTTGCCAAGGCCATAACAATGTCACCCTGCTGCATTCTAGGCCTTTGTCAGAATTTATCTATCTTTGCCTCCTGTCGACATGGGACACAAATAACTACTATTTCTTTCTTTAGTATCTTTTATTTAGTTTCTAGAAAATGTTTCACTCTTATTTTTCCTTCTGCCTCACTGGCACTAATTTTTCAATTTCCTTTCTTAATTTTAACTACATACACTTACTGTATATACATGTAAATACACAGTTGGGTGACATGTGGTGGCCATAGGAGAATTTGCTTGAATCGGTGCTCTCTTTCTACCATGTAGGCCCAGGGATCAAACTCAGGTCATTAGACTTGGTGGCAAGTATCTTGAGCTCCTGTGTTCTCTCACTATCTACTTGCTTTTGATAACTTTGAGTGGGGTCATGGATTTATCCCAAGAATACTACTTCTCGTTTTACTTCTTAGATGTTCCCTTTCATTCTAAGGCTTTAAACACTATCAAAGTCTTCTCTAATTATGTTCAACAATTCTCTATAGGGAACTATCTACACACACTCACCTTAACAGCTTTACAAAGTCTATATCTTTACCAAACCTAACAATGTTTTTTCTTCTTCCTTTTAAATAATTTTATAAGTCTTTGATAATTTCACACAACAAATTTTGATCATATTCACCCCAACCCTTCCTAGATCCATCCCCACCTCCCTGCTCCCTGGTTTCATGTTGTCATTGTCATCTTCCTTCCTCTTCCTCCGCCTTCTTTTTTCTAACCTATCAAATCCAATTAGTGTTAGTCATAAACTCCTGCATATGCAGCCATCCTGTGGAGGTGGTTGACATATCAGAAGCCACCCTTAGGAAAACTCACTCTTTCAAAAAAGAACCCAGTACCATCCATAGCTTGATTTAGAGGTGAGAGCTCATGAATCCTTTCCACTCCATGCTAGAATGGTGAATGAAAACCACAGTCTTGATTTTAAATATCCCAGAGCTATCCAGCAGAGGGTTTTTTTCCTCAATATTTTAATTAAATATAATTGTATCACTTCCCCCTTCCCTTTCCTCCCTCCACCTCCAACCCAAACAATGCCCCCTTACTTCCTCTCAAACTTACGGCATCTTTGTTTCAATGTCTAGCGGAATATTGACGGTTGAAAATAATGAGATTCACCAAGTATTAAACAGGAATCCCAGAGATTTTTTTTTTCTTGTAAATACCCCTCTTCATGCTGGTCAATTCTACCTTCAAAATCAACTTTAAATGTACTAATTTTCTCTATCTCCACCACTGATGACACCCTGGTACAAGCTGCCTTTCCTTTGGCTGGATACTGTAAAAACCTTCTAGCTGCTTTCTCTTCACCTTTTCTTTTTTCTTTCTTTTTTTTTTTCTAATTCATTTTTTTTATTCACTTTACACCCCCTCTCCTCCCAGTCACCTCCTCATATAGTCTCTACCCACCTCCCCTTCTCCTCTGAGAAGGAGGAGGAGGTCCCCTGGGGTTCCAAACTACCCTGACACATCAAGTCACTGCAGGAGTAAACACATCCTCTCCCACTGAGGCCAGACAAGGTGGCCCAGCTAGGGGAACAGGATCCACAGGCGACAGCCCCAGTTCTAGTTGTTGGGGTCCTGCATGAAGACCAAGCTGCACAGGAGCCTAGCATAACTTCCCTCTGAGAAGTTCTACCCAATAGCTTACTGAAACAGACGCAGAGAACTGCAGCTAAACATTAGACAGAGCTCAGACAGCCTTGTGGAAGAGCTGGGGGATCCAGGGGGATAGGAAGTCCACAGGAAGATCAACAGAGTCAACTAATCTGGTCCCTTTGGGGCTCCCAGAGACTGACCCACCAACCAAGCACACATGGGCTTGACCTAGCTGCCTGGAGATAAGTAGCAGGCATGCAGCTTGCTCTTCAGCTATCTGTGTCCTCTCCAATCTTTCATCCTAAGAGTCAATTTCTGTCTACATGTAAACAAAATAAACCTGTATACAAAATAAATAACTAAATCCCTTCCTGACTGTGGTCACAGGGCCTGTACAATCTGTCTTCAGCCTGCCTTTTACTCAACTTAGGCTCTGCTCTATCCTTTAAGAGTGCTCCACTCTCCCACCATGCCGCTCCCCAAGAACTCCACAAAGCTTTCTCAAACTGAGGCCTCTGTGTAGGCTACAGTCATCCTGCAACTATGCCAGCCTTGCTCTTATCTGAGGCACCCCTCTTCCTGTCCTGGAAATCACACCCCATTTCTCCCTTCAGGGCAACCTCTCTTAACACCTCCTCAAGTAGGCCTATGACTCTTGTTTTTCCAGCCTAATAATAGAAAATATGCTGCTGTTTTTAACAGCTCTATCCAAATGATCATATCTCTCAAGTTTGTTCTGCAATCTGTCTTACTAGATTTAAGCTATTGAATAAAAGGAGGGGAGAAAGCAAGCCTATGCAGTAAAGTCATAAACACTTGGCTCTTAGAACAACACCTAACATAAAAACCAGTGTCCAGTTGTTTGTAGAATGAACTAAAACTACTTACTTATATGACCATTCAAGATTAAAGCCAAATAAGGAATGAGTTAATACAGTTCAGCCTTACCTACCTTACTAGATATTAGCAATTATCCCCAGGAAATTGTGCCAGACATCCAATAACACCAGTTTTATATTCAAAATAAGTCACAAGAATACCTGATTCAAGAAACATTTATCCTTCCAGATAATGGTAGCCAATACTCAATACCATATTTGTAAAGAGGAAACAACTGGCATGGTTTGCTGTAAAAGTTGGAGGAGAGGTTTTCTAGCCATTCAATTCCCACTACACTAAAACCACTTGAAGTACATGTGGGTCACAAAACAAGAAACAGTACATGTACCAATCAGGCTTAGATAAGGAGGACTATGAAGAAAAGTCTAGACTTGTAATGTCTATACACTAACATTCGATCTATTGATAACTTACGTTAGAGAGGCTGGGGACTTCCAGCCAGTAAGTGGCTCAACTGATTGCCATTTCTTCTCTAATATGTAATTCTGTAAATCTTCATAGATTCCTGGACCACGGTAACGGCGGAATATTCCATCTTTTGCACTATAAATTATAAAATCAAGCAGAAATTATATAAATCAAATAAGGAAATACATAATAATAATAAATTATTGATCATACATGTAAACTCTGCTTGAATTTTAAATTAGCTCAAATAAAAAAAAAAACTACCCAGACATTAACCCAGAAGGCATGTGTTATTCTAATCTAATACAAATGAAAAATTCTAAAACTTAAAGCATTACGTTTTTTTATTTCATCACTGTACAATCTGTAACCATAAGCTAAATTTCTAGCAATGTTTAATAAGTCAACTCATTTACTAACATGCTTGCAACCAATTATTTTTATTTTTTCTAGCAAAATAACCACTGTTATCACATTAACAAATATTGTATCCACATCTTCAAACTTATGTGATTCAAGTCTCTAGCTCATGATCGAGAACAAAGCACCCATCTCACATCCGCCTCTAATCCTTCTCTCTCCCACCTACTCAGCCCAGATAGGAGTCACAGGAAGAGTCTACACATTCCCTTTCCTCTCCCTTCCTAATGTACTGCTGAGTGAAACTGACTCCATTGAACCTGTTTGGCCAGTATCTGGAATGACCCCAAGTGCTATATCCATGGAACATTTTTGCCATTTTCCCTTCACCTCTCATTAGCATGGTTCACTAATACCTACTTAACATATCCCCCTGCACAGCTGAATTTTAATCTTTGTAAGATAATAAAATTAATAAAACTTACTGAAAAAATGCTGGGAGAGTGGTGACAAAGAAGCGGCCACTCAAACCTAGGAAAAACATAAACAAAAATGGTTAAAAGTTTATATTACAGTTTGATTATATGATCAAACTAACTTCTGAAGAAAGGCAGTTGTCTTTTATCTGCTCAAATAAAAGGCAGGAAATCACCCTTAATTGATCTGTGCACCCTGCACATCCCATACAAATGTCTTCATAGATCTATGTATTGCTTGTAAAGTTTTCTACATTGTAGAATGGAAGACCAGGAGGGCATCCCTGATAGGATTCATCCTTGAGGATGTTGAGATGCTGAGACCTGCTGTTCCAGTTTCCTGCTTGATCATACCTCAACTGTATCAAAGCTTTTCCTCAAAAGACTTGCTTCCTAAGTATTTTCAAGACAGCTAGCTCACTCAGTCCAGGTCTTTCAGACAGTTCTAGCTGGGATTTCATTTAAGCCTATACTTTCTCAACATATAGAGACTAGGCAACAGATGCTATAGTTAGCTTTTTTATAACTATTTTTCTAATTTTCTTGGGCCCCTTAAAAAAGAATTCTTCACCCCAATTCAGCAGGAAGCAATTATAAAAAGACTATTGTCACAGTTCCTTAAATTGGGGTGGAGGGTTTTTGTTATTTTATGAGTTATAGATATGAGGTCATTTTAGGGGATGATTATAAATAATTATGGTCTTGAACAGAAAGTAAACAAAATAGATTAGATTCAGGGAATTCTTTTCTCTTTCCCCTCCTTTTCTGTACATTTCTTTCTTCCATCCTTAGGTAAGGAAGAGGGTTGAAAAGAAAACGGTGGAATACAGAAATACCAAAAGAAATTAGATAAATAGGGGTAGATTATTGAATTTGCATATAGAAATATTATAAGAAATTAGACACCTAGGGATAGATTATTGAATCTACTCTTAAACCAAAAAACAAACAAACAAACAAAAACAAAAAAAAAACAAAAACAAAAAACAAACAAAAAAAGCAAAAAACTAACAATACCATTTTATGGTCATAATCTTACACTGGTAGAGATCTTTGTATTTCGATGCAAAAATGAAGTTATATTTTGTTATGTTGGTACTGAATTTTTATATTGATATAATTTTAAGGTTTTCATTGGCATATTTATATATTGATATAAAATTTAAAATTCATTTGTTACAACATAATATAAGTATGTTTCAACTCTTGTATAGGTATTTTGTTCATACAACTCATTTAAGAATACAAGGTTTAGCCCCAGTCCTTTTAATAGCTGCTATTACAGATGGTTTAGGATAATTAAGTGATGCAAGTGAATAGTCAGTCAATAAAACTCATGGTCAGATTAGACCCTAGTCTAGCTTATCACAGAAATATACATCCTGGGTTGTACAGATAATAGGTAGCTGGAAACAGGCACTGTTTGCTTGTTCAGATGTGCTATGAATACATAGACGGTCTTCAATAATCTCAGAGACTCATAGAATACAGCATTTAAAGATGTTTTTATTAACGTAAGGGCTTGCTGACATTGAGGCATGTCAACTCCTGGTAGCACCTCATTAGACTTTAAAAGATGATGAGCATCAAAAGCCTCCATACGGCATTGCTCCAATTGTGGTAAGTTAGCCACTAGGCAAAGAAAATGCACAAACTTCACAGGCAGACAGACTGTTGGCCAAAAAGGACAAATGGATGCAGGGAAGCCAACAGCCAAGCTCTGCCAAGATGGGATGAACAAGTTGTTTACAATCCCTGCTTTACAAAAGGTCTATCTGATATTCTGGGCCAGAAGGATGAAGATAGAGGCTCAGGACATAAGATATTTTAGGTCTAAGATGTTTCTAGGATGGTAATACAAGTTAGGATAGAAAATGATTTAGATACAGTCTGAATTCATCAAGATAGGATAAATGATAATACACTTTATCTAAGTTGCCAAAAATAAATGGACTGCACATTGTGAATGTAACTCTTACCTAATAGTTTTCACAATTGTTTTATTTTTTTTTTAAAGATTTATTTTTATTGTATGTATGTGAGTACACTGTTGCTGTCTTCAGACACACCAGAATAGGGCATCAGATCCCATTACAGATGGTTGTGAGCCACCATGTGGTTGCTGGGAATTGAACTCAGGACCTCTGGAAGAACAGTCAGTGCTCTTAACCACTGAGCCATCTCTCCAGCCCTCACAATTGTTTTATAATTGTTCCTATTGCATGTTGTTTACTATTATAAAAGAAAGAGCTTTTTTACTTAGACAAGAAGGGGGAAATGTACTGGATTAGTTTGATGCTGCTTGAATTCTAATGCTAATTACTGTTTCTTCAAGATGTGGTTCCCCCTAACCTCCATCCCCTGACAGGTAGGTCCTCACATACATAAAATGATGTTATATAAATGTTCTTCCCAATTTAACTAAAAGGCTAGAGTCTATGAATGGGCAGTGGAGGAACAAAGGTGGGACTAGAGGTTTGAGTGAGAGGGTTGCAGGTACAGGGAAGAGGAGGAAGAAGGAAGTCTCCGCAGACCAGGACTACATGGCCAGGAGAAACAGCAGGTAACAAAGGACTTTATAGCTGGGGAATAGTTAGTATAGCACTAAGTCTACCCAATGTAGGGTTATGGCTTGTAAATAAAATACCTAGATTGTGTGTCTTTTATATGGGCTTGTTAGGATTATAAATTCTTTCCACAGTCCATACATACTACAGTAGATGGCCCCACATTCATGCACATACGGGTAGCAGTAAGTAAACTTAGTAAGTTACTAAGTAAGACAGAGAGGAATAATTTTAAAAAAAAGATAGGTACATATAGTTGAAAGCAGGATATGTTGAGGATCTGGAGGGAATCCAAGCATAGATGTGATATTTCATTATATAAATATATGAAAGTCCCTAAGAATAAATGTTTAAAACTAAAAAGAATATTTAAAAATAAAAATAACTAGGCCAGGCATGGTAGAACAAGCCTTTAATTCCAGCACTTGGGAGGCAGAGGCAGGTGATCTCTGTGGGTTTGAGACCCACTTGATCTACCAAAGAGCGTCCAGGACAGCCACAGTTTATTACATAGAGAAACCCTGTTTCAGAAAAAACAAACAAACAAACAAATTTAAAATATAAGCCAGGCCCAGTGAGGCTGGTAATTCCAGCACTATAAATCAGGAATGCCTAGTCTATATATCAAGTTTCATGCCAGTCTAAAACTAAAGTGATGCCCTATCTCATAAAATGAAATCAAACAATATAAAGATACTTGTACTATTCCATTCCATTAATGAAGATAAAGGCTTTAAAAGGCTTAATATCCTAATTGTTTTATATAATTTTGTTTATTTATAAAATTTCCAATTATTATACATGAATCATACTTGTTTTTATTGTTTTTGCAACTCTTTAATAAACATAAAACAAATATGATGTCATATTATCCATATGTAAAGGTAAACAGAATAAAGGTCTCCTTCATTCAGCAAATAGTTACTAAGAAAGTTCTTTGAAAAATGCTGGTAGTTCCTGAAGATAACTCAATGAGGAAAGTAGGTAGTGTTCTCACAGACGGAAAGAGTTTCACATATCACAATCATGGCCTCACGGAGACATTATACAAACAACAAAATGCAGCAAACCTGACTCCCGATGATTGTATAACAACTCTCTACCCTATAAATGTGACTTGCAAATCAATTATATCTAAAAGGGTACCTGTACTTAGTGGAGGGAAAGAACATATCAGGGGAAAATAACATACATTCTTCTAATACTTATTATTTCTACCTACCTCTCTTGCTAAACAATACCAACAAAATCAAGCATCTATACAAATCAGCTGTTCTAATTTTTTATCTCTTGGGTCACTTGAAATTTGATACACTGAAGCACTGACAATCTATTTTCATCATTTTTGTAAAATAAACCTGTATTTACATAATACTTCTTATCCTGGCTGGGCTTGCTGACTTATGTTTCCTCACAGAATGAGGGGTGGAATATCCATTCACTCCTCCCAGTTGTACGGAATTCTGCCCTAACTGCATGGGCCTTAGGGAAGAGCTAGAGTAGATAGGCAGGGAAAGACTAAGAAAATAGTTCCCGTCTACACAGCCATGAGAAAGTCATCATCCTTGCTGGAGCAGACCTTCTAGTGTGGCTGCTTTAGAGACATCCACATTTGCCTGTAACCCTTCACTCCTTCACTCATTGTTCTGTAAAGAAGCCTTATATGATTTCCCCCAGGGTAAACTTTTGTAGAATCTAACTTTGGTCATTTGGATCTTAGAAGTCGATAAAGGGTAGAAGTTTCCTAGTCTCACCTAGGGTAAAAATTCTCCTGACCCATTCATGTCGTCATCAGAAATCAGAGCTGAGTTTGGAAAGATCAACACCATTGGTCCTGATAGGGGTAGTCAGACAGGCAGCTGAACCTATACTGTTCAGAGGTTGGAGCGCCTGCTGAGGCTATTTTAACACAATTTTTTGTCTTCATGTGGCATGTGGTTGATGTGCCCTTAGCTAATATGGTCGTGGCATAGGCAGTGTGAAGGTTAGAGAAATAGATCACTAAGGTTGAGGTACCCTGAGCAGGGGACATCCATAAGGGGATATCCCAGGTTGGTATTCTTGTAAGTGCAATGGAATGCCATGCCTGCATGATAAACACTCTGCCGAATATGAGAGTATGGAAATGAAAGTCATTAGTTGGGAATCCTAGTGGTAGGGTGAGTTATCTCCTAAGAAGTTGTGAGCATAGAGGCCCCAGAAGCTCCTAAACCAATGAAGGCTACTGCCATTGTTATTGGTTTCATTCCAGAACTGAATGGTAAGACACTAATGCTGATGGCATCAAATAGTTTGCATTTTAGGACTTGGAGAAGTAACGCTAGGACTGAGACAGTCTACTTCCCTGAAAAATAGTTTTTACAGTGCTGAAGTTGCTACTAACATATAACATAGTCTTTCTCAGCTGTAGGTCCTTCATGCTTCATGACAGAAGTATCAAACACTGCGTGCCAGACCCTAAAATAGTGACAAAACTAGTTACAGACAGAACAAATGTTCTGATTGGATTTAAGGCCTGATCCACAGGGAGAAATTCACATCTGATACTTGGAATTTAGACAAAAACCTGTGTGGCCAAGTCATAGGCACTTCTTTGTTAAATAAATATTTAACAGCTATGGTAACTGTCCAACATTTGTGTCATGTATATAATCAGGTTATTACTTGACTCAGTGTTTTCGTTTCCTATCTTTCAAACTTTTCCCTGCTTATGTTTTCTAGTAGGAAAAATACACCCCAAGACTTGCCAAAACTCATGCTCCAGAGATAGAGAGACTAACAGAGAGCATGGGGTCCAATGCCTCACTGAAGTTGGAAAGGAATAGTCAGACATCTATGTCACCCCTTCCAAGGCTCAGAGAATGTTATGGAAGAGAAGAACAGAAAAAAAAAAATAAGAACTAAAGGAAAAGCTGGAGTGTAGTACATAACTCTTCCATGCCAAACTTCTTGTTGTCTGTTGATATTCCTCTATGGAAGGAAAGGCTGGGTGAATCTTGGGACCCTCACTGAAGTATCCAGCCACTCCCCACAACAGGTTATATGCACCTCTGTCTGCTTGAACGTGATCTTGGGAAAGTACAGTCATAACGAAGTTACCAAACATGCATAAGTGCAGACCTGCCCAGTGTGGCTGTCTTAACTCATTGAGCTGGCTACTTTTATGTCAACTTAATAAACAGGGGACCTCAATTGAGAAAATACCCCTATAAAACTTGCCTTTGGACAAACCTGTGGTGCTTTTTTTTTTTTTGGATAATTGATGTGGAAGATGAACCAACCTCACTGTGATGGTCTCTGGGTTGATAGTGCAGGGTGCTTTAAGAAAGTAGGCTGAACAAGCTATGAAGCAAGTCTTAAAGCAGTCTGTTAGCAAGCAGACCTTCCTTGCCCTTTATATCTTAGAAGGAAAGAAACAAATGAACAAAGGAAGGAAGGAGGTAGCTAGATACTTATACTACTGAATTTTTATCTGTTATTTTCCCCTTTGTTTTTATTATTATTTATTCCCTTCATTAGAATGTAAGCTGAACAGGTCATATCTGTCTTCCTTAGCCGTTTCTATATCACTTATACCTAAATTCAAATATCCAAGATTATTTCTAAGTACTATTAAAACATTAGTAAAAGCATTAAACTAGTAATTCAAAGTAAAATTATAAACTTAAAAGACCATAGCCAGTATCATACAATTATGTACCACTTAAAGATAGAGATACGTTTTGCAAAACATTTTCAGGTGATATATTGTTTTGTGGATATAGCAGAATACAGTTACACTAGCTAAGGTATCTACATCTACTACCCTTAGGCAGTAAGATCTTACAGAACCATCATAAGTTTAGTTTGTCCTCAACCAAAAACCTAGTATTAATGACTATATTCTTTTAGTCATTAGTTATTCTTAGTCATTTAGACAACCAAGAACATAGAATTGTGTTCTCCACTTAAAAATATACATGTAGCTATTTTATGTGCATGAGTGTTTTACCTACATGTGTGTACAAACACCATATGAGTGTCTGATGCCTATGGAAGTCAGAAAGGCGGCATCTTATTCCCTAGAACTGGAGCTACTATGGAACTGGAGACATGGACAGTTATGAGCCACCATTTGAAGCTGAAACTAATTAATTCTCTGCAAGAGCAATAAGTACTCTTAACTAAGTCATTTCTCTAGCCTCTCTTGCAATTTTTGATTTAGTAGTTGCAGTTAAGTTTTTATAAATTAAAAGAATCATAGATGGGTCTGGAGAGATGGCTCAGTGGTTTAGAGCATGTGTTGCTCTTGCAGAGGATCTAGGTTCAATTCCTAGCACCCACAACATAGCTGACAAACATCTCTAATTCCAATTTCAATGGAGCTGATGCCTCTTCTGACCTCCAAGGGTACCAGGCATGTACATAATACACAGGTATGCATATAGTCAAACTATTAATACACATAAAATAATCTAAAAATTATTGTAGACGCCACAAAGAAGAGTGATTTTTCCTTCTTTGATATGTATTCCAGGTACTGTCCGTTTATATTTACATAAAACAATGCGGCAGAAATAAGCATTTTTAAGTATTTCATAACCCATTTTTCTTTATCCTTTCTACATGCAATGGAAAAAATAGGAAAAATTCTGTATTTTAGATGGAAACCTATTAATTTAAACAGAGTTATGGATCTATCATTAGGCTATTTAGCTTAAATCACACTGAATTCACAAGGAGATACTAAGAGACTGAAATGTGAATAGGATAGCTGCATTTTGAAGAACTCCATCATAAATTATATCTAATGGGTCTTATACAAGTTTACACTGATCACCATCTACTAAAAAATGAAAACAAACTGTGGTGGTTTGTTCCTCTTATAAGTGGATGCAGTAGCTAAAACCAAAATTCTAGTACAAAACATACTACTAAAAATTGAAAACATCCATATTTTAAAGTTTTCTATCACAAAATCCAACTTGTTTTTATGTATAATAGTTATTTTTAAACTAAAAATAGTAACTAATTGTGTTTATCTTTTCAGAATATAAAATGACTTCATATCTCATACTGAGGGAAAAAGTAATTTTCTATTTATAAATTTTAGCTAACATAATCACATGCAATTGCTCAGGAGGCTACCATTCTAAAACCCAAAATGATGTATCTATTAAAGCAAGAAAATCACAAAGAGAAAAGAGGGGTTGTTTCTTAATATTTAATTTACTTAGTGTTGCTAAGTGCTCAAGCTTAACTTCATATATGGTGACACTTAGGGCCTTCTGATAAAATGCAACATGAAGTCACAGCACTACTTATGGAGTACTTTATCCATAACCTGAACAGAATCACATCTCGATAGCAAGCTTCCAGTTTATAGAAAACAGGAGAATAATTTACTATCATAAGAAAATATCTGTACTTCATGGGCTAATCTCTTAAGTATATTAATGCCATTACAAAGAGAGGATAATTCCAGATTGAGAGAAACAAAAAACAACAAAATTCAAGTTATGAAATTTGACTGGATCAAGATTCAAAAAAAAAAAAAAACTATACAAAAAGCCATGGGAAATCAGATTCAACACACTAAAAACATGATGGGTGAACTACCATGATAATTAAACTTACTGATAATGTATCTGTAGCAGGATATTTTTCCTGCAAGTTGGAAGGAGCTAAGGTGGGAGGAGAAAGGAGAGGAAGAGGAGGAGTAAGGAGAGAAAGAGAAGGAAGAGGAGGAGCTAGAGGAGAGAACATAGGGGTGGGGGGACATGGAAGCGGACCATCGCCTGTCTCTAGCAGTCAAAGGTAGTATCTGGGTTGGGTATTGGGTTACACCTTTGATTGTGTGGGCATCTTGTTATTGAGCATTACCAAATATATAAAGCCTTAGGATAATCTAAGCATTAGAGTCTCATTTGTACCGAGCCTGCATGGATGGTGGGATGGTCTGGGCTACACCCAGCCTTGTGGAGACAGCGTGGGGGATGGAGATTGGTAGAGCCATCCCCCACGCTGGGTGGCAGGGCCGGTGTCTCTGGTCACCTGAGCAGATGACATAAACTGAGCAGCAGTTGGGAAACATGGCGGCTGATTAAGAAAAGCCTGATTGAATGCCACCAATTTAAATATCTTCTGCAACATGTATCAACAAATAGTAATAATAATAAACATATGTGTGTATGTGTATTATACGTATGTGTAAATGCATAAACACCCACATAGACACGAATATTCCAAAATGTGGTCAGTTGCTTCCAGCTGGTATGTTCAACATCCTACTTGGCAAATTTTCTACATACATGAAAATTTCTAAGTAAGCAGTGGCTAAACATTCCTATCTATAGATCACATATACAGTACCTGGTTCTTGAATGACATCCACCTTCCCCACACTGATCTGAAGTGTTTCTCCATTCTTTGCAAAAGTCTCCCATTCAGAATCAGTCTGCTGGCAGGATGGACACCACGGAGCATAACTATAAGACCAGAAGAAACCATCAACATAAAATATATGGAGTAAAATCTATAAACAAAGTTAACAGAACATTCAAAGATAAATTCTTAGCTAAAGGGGAGAATAAAAGCAAGCTTTCCCAAGTTATTTGACATAGAAAAACAAGAGTATATTTCCCTTTTATGATTTTATATACAAATATTAATTCTATTTAAAAATTTGAGAATATTTTTAAAATAATCTTAACATATAAAACATTTCCTCCATGTAATTTTTTTTAAAAATAAATGAATTAAGTTTTATCTCCTAGCTTTGATCTTTGAGGCAAGTATGTTCCAAGCACCCAAAGTAAAATAACCTTCAAGGATGTCTCAATACTAGCCAAGCCAACTTCAGATCTCTCAAATCTATAGAAATGATAGGCAAAGACCAGAAACCTGTCACTTACTGGGTCCCCAGTGTGTATCCAAGTATATAAATACCTGAGAAAGTGCTTAACTTGTTCAAGTAAAAGAGAGCTACCCAATACTTTTTAAAACATTAAGAATCTTGGCCTTAAAGCCATATCTCTGCTTTTTATATGTACTGTTCAGCTAGAAACAGGTAATGATATCTCATAAGGGCCTACAGAGAAAGGAACATCTGTGCTAAGACTTAAGGAGAACAATCAGCCAAGAAAGGGTTAACAAATGTTCCAATCTAAGCAGGAAAATGGTATACATTAAGAATTTATCACTGAGTAAAAGAAGCCTTAAAGAAAACAGACTAGGGAGATACAGCTTACTGGGTAAGAACACTGTTGTATAGGCATGCAGATCAGAGGTTCAAATCCCTAGACCATGTGAAAAACAAAAACAAGAGTGGTTGTGTGCGACTATGGCTCCAGTACTGTTGAGGATCAGAGATGGGAAGATCTTTGGAGCTTACTAGAGGTCAGCCTCCTCCAGATTCAAAGAAATGCCCTCTATTGTCAAAGGAATATGGTAAGTAGTAGGACCATGTCTCAAAAAATGAACAAATAACAATAAAAGTACAATAAAACATACACACACACACACACTCTACCCAGATTATAAGCTGAGATGTTATTCTTAGTATTGAATCTCAAAATGTTAAAATAGGAATACAGTGATTTTCAACTTGTAAAATGTATGAACTAAATAATTTTCCCAAAATAATGTGTTCAAATTAGTCCTGGTGCCTGCAAATGAGACTTATTTGGAGGTCATCACATAAATCATTAAATTAGAAATCTTGCAGAGATCATCCTGACTTAAGGCGCGGCCCACATCTAGTAATAGTTCTTACAAGAGGAAGAGGAGAGAGCTCTGACAGAGAATAGGTAGAATGCTATGCAATAATGGATGCAAAGACTGTAGTTAAGCGGACCTAAGAAACACGCAGACACACACCAGAAGCCACAAGAAACTAAGAACACCACAGATGGGACAGTTCCACAGAGTCTACAGAGTTAACAACCCTGCTACACCTTGACACCTGCAGGTCTGTCATCTCCAGAACTATGAAAGAATTAATTGCAGTTATTTCAAGCCTCCAATATGGTGTTAATTTTTTATAGCAGTCTGAGGAAACTAATAAAAAAAGCAAGACAAAATTTAAAAGTAGAAGGATGTAGGAGGAGCTAAGGTGGGAGGAGTAAGGAGAGGAAGAGGAGGAGTTGGGAGAGGAAGAGAAAAAAGGAAGAGGAGGAGCTAGAGAGGGCAGAGATGTAGGAAGATGGAGAACCACACAGGTATGGAGAGCACTCGTGGGGAACAACTTATAAACTTATAATTAGGTTAGCTAATTGGGATACAACTCTCTTTGTATGGGCATCTTGTTATTAATCATTATCAAACATATAAGCCTTTGATTAATCTATAAGAATTAGAGCCTCATTCTCTTACTGGGCCCGCATGGATGGTGGAATGGTCTGGGCAATTCCCTGCCTTGCAGAGACAGCGTGGAAGATTGGCAGCGCCATCTCTCACGCTGGCATCTAGTAGATGGCAGGGCTGGTGTTTCTGGCAGGCTGGTTCTACCTGCAGTGCTCACATGGCCTCAGGCTGAGAAACATGGCGGCTGGGCTAGGCAGACCCACTGTGGCTTGAGCCAGAGGCCCATTTTAAATAATTACTCAACAGCTGGCAGAATATATATTCCCCACAATATATAGAAGACACCATCTCACAGCAGATGCCTTGCTCCTCTGGCTCTTCCAATCCTTTTTCCCCCTCTTCAGTTATGATCCCTCAACTTTAGGTACAGGAGTTGTATTACAGATGTTATCAACTGAGGTTAGTTAGGCAAACCATGGTCAGTTGTTCGCTACATTTAGACCTGTTGTGAGTTTCTGTAATGGTCTCCATCTGCGGCTAAAAGAAGTTTCCTTTTCATAAGGGGTGAGAGCTACACTTATTTGTAGACATCGGAGTAAATATTTAGAATGCAGCTAGAAATGATACTGTCTTAGGAAATGGCAGTAACAGACTTTCCTCGAAAATCTATAATCTCACCAATCAAGCGTCATTGGCTAGGTTGACAAAACTAGGCATAAATCCCCTCCTACCGAGTAGACCTTAAGTCTAATTAGACTAAGTGTTAGTTACTCTCAAGATAGTAGTGTTACCACTGTACCCTTAGGGCTATCTTGGCAGGCTGGTCATTGTTGTAGTCTTGTGCTTTACAGCTGGATAAGACTATTGATTGCTTTTCTCTATGACAGCTTGCACAGCACCTTTAGACACTAGCAGGACTACTGCTCAGAGGAAGGAGGCTCACAGGTTAATTCCAGCTCTACTCTTTCCAACCCTGTGTCTAAAGTATGTGGTGTCTTCAACAGCCTAGTCTTACCTTAAAGTTCTGGGAGACAACCAAGGGCAAAGGCCTAACATTTAATCATCTATGTAAAGAATAAAACCTGTAGCTGTATGAAAACTCTAACACCTGCTTGAGTGAGGAAACAGTATGTTCCCAGACAAAATGAATCCCCAGAGGCAATGACTGTTTCATTGCTTGTACCTAGGACAGAGACTAGCAGGATTGAGCCATAAAACAAACAAACAACAAAAAAAACATTTATAACAGCAATAATAAATTGGAGATGATACACAGAAGTTCTTTGAATGGTATTTTTGAAGACTCAGTAAAGAAATAAATTGTATTACTTATTCATTCATTTAGTAAAAAAAACATTGAGCACTTGCTATTTAATAGGAAGACTCTAGAGTTAAACAGGGAAGAAATCTTATCCCTCTATATGAAGTTTATAGTATGTGGGAAAAATAAAACACAATACCTAATACAAAGGCATATAGCCAGATTCATACTTACCAGATGTGGTTAGAGCCATGCTAGATACACAAGATATTGTAAAAATGGGGGTTCCTGTAAGGACGATAGGGCCCTTATTCAAATGTTACGAAGTATCAAAAATAAGCTTACTACAATAACATTTGTCATCTACAGAAACCAGAGATGATGAAAACATGGATGGGTCCCTGCTTCCTGAAGAACAGAGCCTTCCCTTATGTGGTGCTGATCAGTAGAGGTACTGAACCTAAACCAGAGCCAGCCAATCAAGCATTCTCATATACCAAAGAGCTGTCTACCCCCAAATGGCAAGGATGTCTGTCATTAAAGACCACTAATAAATGTCTTTAAAAGTCTAGTATCCAGTAAGCAGTTGCTAAGTAGTTGAATGTTACTCATGCTACCACCTTCAGAGCTTGTATCTCATTCACCTTCACTTTCCCAAATCCACTCCCCCAAACTTGACACATAACAAGCAACCATTTAGTCACATTCTCTTAAACATGCACACAATAAAACACAACAAGCTGATTAACTATGGGAAATTTAATTGTTTGACATGAGCAAGTCAACATTTTTTCGTACAGGCATCAGAAAAACACTGGAAAAACAATACTAAAACTTTGAGTTTCTTGCAGAAATACGGCATAGAGCCACATAACCACGTAGCTCATCTCAGTTTTGATACACGAGCAGCTGAAGACCAAAGTCAGAAGCCATGCTTTATAAAAATTAACTTCCTTTATAGAAGTAAATTCAATTCAATTAAAAATATATTTTATCCAGAAAATAATATAGGTAAGCAGATCAAAATTATGCTACATGGATATCAAGACAGCTTAGACATTTCTTTGGATTAGGAGGGGGAAGCACCAGAACATTATAGAGAATGAATAATATTGCATATTTTGGGTTTCAAAAGAACAAAAGTATCAACAGAACTAGAACAGATTATCAGGCAGGAGGGTGAGAGAGAGTAAAGGATAAAGTAACCATATAGTGAGGGAGGCAATGTCCTAACTAAACAGCTTATACCTAAAGTGAAACCTCCAATGCCAGAAATGGGCTATATCTTGTTGAGTCACAGGCCAAAGGGATTCCAGAGACCCTCCAAACATCAAGGACTATTGCCAAACCAATTGGTTACCCTCTGTAACCTGCTGCTGAAGACATCACATACTTACAACATCAAAAATGAAGAAATCAAGCCGGAGTATCCAATTAGAAGCTTCACCCCTACTGACCAGTGTTCATGGTATTAGAGGTACTTTGTACACTACTAGAGAACAGCTATCATCAACTCCCAGCCACAAACCCCAAGACCTACAACAGCAATGTGCCTATAAGATATACTGGTGCAATAGTGGAACAAATATTACAGATATAACTTACCACTTTTTAAATGGATTTAAAGCCCATTCCCTGACATTTCGAAAGTGGCCAAGAATCTGAGACTTTATAAGTCTCATAGGCTCTATGGGAAAACCTATTATTACTGTGCTAAAGGAACACAGCAATAAAATGACTCCTAATGACACATTGCTATAACTGTAAATTGGAGTACTACTCATAACTCATCACAGAAGCTTCTTGCAGTGGGTGCTAATTAACAGAGACCTACAACTAGACAACATGCACAGTGACTCTGAAACACTCAGCCCTAAAACTGCAACAGCCAGAACAAACAGTGTCTGCTGGAAACAAGCAGACTGACAGACATATGGACTCACAAAGACTATGAGAGTATGCTATGCGCAAGACCTACAAGGTTCAAACTCAACAAAACCCCAGCATGGAGAAGGAAACATGTACACAAAATCTCACCTCTAACAAAGAAGCTATCAGCAGCTGATAGCTGCTGGGAAAGGAAAAAATCAGTTTTCTCCAATCAAGTGTCACTAAGCATATCAACCATATTCTAGGGTACACCCTATACAAAACAGACTCTATGGTTGGGGAGTATTTGTTTGTTTTGTTTTTGAGCACTTTTGGTTTGTTTAGATTTATTTGAAAAGTTGATTTTTTTAATACTTTATTTACTTATTTATTTTCATTTTTTCTTGACTTTATTGTTTAGTTTTTTTTTAAGAGAGAAAGAGAATACATAAAGTTTTGTGGGTAGGAAAGTAGAAAAGCAAGAGATGGTAGGAGAAAAAGAATATAACTGAAATATATTATATGAAAAAATTAAAATTTTTTTAAATAAAAATATGAATTAAAATAACATTTTTTTAAAAAGAAACATAACAAGAGACAAGTGTTAAAAAAACACAAAAAAGTTAGGAAGTAATTAAATGAAAGTTAGTATATATAAACCAACATAAATAAAGAAAAGGTAGCATCAGAAGGTGTTTAAGGATAACAACCAATTAAAGTGAGAGAGAAGAAATGAGCAATAACACTATACAATTATACATAAAAATAAATGAGAGGAAAGGAGAGTACGTGACAAACCCCTAACATGAAAGAAATTCAAGTAGTAATAAAAGGCATTTTGCAGCTTTGTAAAAATGTTTCAATATAAATATAATGAATTATCACAAATTAATTTTAACAGATATTCCTCATACAGAATAGTTTTCAAAACTGAAAATTCAAGTCCAAGGACCACAAACATTGATTCCTTAAAATACAAAGAAAATTTCACTAAATTTTGTAGTTGATTTTCATATCTCAAAGCACCAAACACTGCTAAGATTAAGAGCAAATGAATAACAATATAGGCATGAACTGTATCATAAAAGCTTTGTATAACTTGAGATACAAAAGCAGATTCCCAAAGAGTGTAAGTGTATGAGCAAATGAGGAATAAAAATTTAAAATGTTGTCAAAGTTTTACCAATATGATCATAAAGCTAACTCATTTCTTTACCGAAAACAAATACATTTTACCTACAGTCCTATTAATCTCAAAATACAAGACCAGACTATCTGAAAAAGCGCTGACTTGAGAGGTCATATAAGCACATGAATATTAGTATGTGTGTGTGCATGTTTGTATGTGGTTGTACACAATACACGCATGTGTGTGTAGGCCAAAGATCAACACTGGGAGTCTTCCTCAATTGCTCTCCACCTTTTTTTTTTTTTTTTGAAACAGGGTCTTTCACTAAGCCTGCAGCTTACCTGTTTAGTAGACTAGCTGAGGAACAAGTATCAGAGATTATACCACCAGCTCCCCAGTGTCAGAATTACAGACATGGTTAACTGTACCTTGCTTCTACATGGTCATTGGGGAGATGAACTCAAGTACTCATGCTAGTGTGGCTTCTCTCTTATATACATGGGAGAGTAGCTATTTTGAAAAAAACACTCCAAAATGTATTTGTAATAGGCCTATAGTGGTTATGAGAATACAAAGAATGAGGAATGTCATCCAGTAACACAGAAAAATAAATTTAAAAAAAAAAAAAGGACAGGAGGCACAGTAACTCTTCTGAATCAGTTTCTGGTATCCATAGAGAAACTGAATGTAATAGCATAAGTTCCTTCCTTTCCATCCTCACTTCCTGCCTACCAATTCTGAAGAATTTATAAGCCAGTGTCTCAATTTAAAAAAAAAGAGAGAGAAGAAACAATTTTACCTATATGTGTGTGTATGTATGTATGCATGTATGTATGTATGCATGCGTGCGTGCGTGCGTGCGTGCGTGCGTGCGTGCGTGCGTGCGTGCGTGCGTGTGTGTGTGTTTGTGTGTGTATAAAATGCAGCTTGACACATAGCAAGTCCCAAGAATAGATTACAACTATCTAGGCTGGGGCATTTTAAAACAATAAAATAGGAACCATCCAGGAGTTGTTAGCCAGCACTAAATTGCAAGCTTACTGGGACTTACAATCAATCATCTCAGTTTTATTTTTCTTACTTCTTTTCCTTAAACAGCAAAAAAAGAAAATTCAAAAAGGAACCACTAAGGAGTTAACAGCATCAGATCTGAGGCCTTTTTACTGGGACTGTTTTCACACTTCACATAAAACACTCAGTCTAACTAGAAAATCATCTGGATAAACACCTTTGAAATGATAGTAATAATTATAGAAATAGCTGACAAAAGGTGTTTCTCAAAGTTCTAAAATATTGCAAGCTGGCAGCACTAACATTAATCTTACTGTTTTTAACTCTAGCACACAAGAGGCAGTGGCAGACTGGTTGCTGTGACTTGGAGGCCACTGAGATCTACACAGCCAGCTCCAATCCAGCCAGAAATGCATAGTGATACCCTATCAAAAAAAGAAAAGGGTGTTTCTCTCAAATAGGATATGACCTCATTTCCATCCAAATAGGTTATTCATATCCATAGCATTAGAGTTTCACTGATTTGATGATTTAACAGGAGTACTGAATTTTGAAGTCTAGGTATCTCCATAGTTTGACAGGTAAATACCCATTATGTTCTTTGATTTACATATTTTTTTACCCTGATCTCAGGCATCTACTTGCAATCTGAACTGAAGAAATCAAAATCTGGCCTTGGAAAAATTCAAAAACACAACTTTGATAATATCTATATTCTCAACATTAAAGGAACTACCAAAATGGCAGTGATAAATCTGTATTACCTGAGACTTGGAGCTATGGTAATGTGGTCTCATAAATTTGTTCCCAGACATTTCTCATTTTCCCTGGATGCCCACGAGTCTATGAAGCCTTTTCAGATGACTGTCCCCTTCCCTGGTATTAATTTTATATTACAATCAACATAAATCCCTTCCCTTTGTCCTGACAGCTTCCCATAACCTTCAAGCATGGCACTATGCACCAACCACCACTTCTGTTGTTCAAAGGGGACTATTTGTTATTGTCCTTTCTTAATGCCATTGGTGCAATCCAATTATGATACTGACTCAAAATATCCTACCTCTAAATATTATGCCATCGGAATTTAAAAATAATCTTTTTTAATTTAGCCACTCATGTTTATGCTTTTGCTCCACAATGACATCTCAAGGTCTTCAAAAGGAAAGTGGTATTTCACACAAACTGGTCTTCCTTCTCTTCTGCAATGGCTTACTTTCAACACACTTTACCTAAATGTATGCATCCCTGAATAGCTGCCCCTTTTCTAACATGGCTAGACCTCTAAGGATTTATGGTTTTCTTTACCCCTTCCCGACTTCTCCCCCTGGTGAACTGTCTCCTCCCATTTCTAAAACACTTTTGGCCTAAAGTAATAATGGTAAAAAGCAGCTAAGGATGCAGGCTGTGCTTCTTCATCCGCAGCCTGACAGCAAAGGGCAATGTGCGCATGCTCATTTCGAAGGCCGCAGCCCGCCACCGCAGGTGCTGGCAGGCAGGAGCGTCGCGGCCAGGGTCTAGCCAGGGTAGGACCGCGGGCTCCGCGAGGAGGAAGCGACGTGAGGGGCGGGAGGGGACACTCACAATTTCAGCATCCACTCGCCCTCCATCACCAGCGTCCAGTTGGAGGCGGTCATGGGCTGCACACGGCTCTCCTCTGCCGGCAGCGCGGCCTGCTCGAGGCCCTCAGCCGCTGCCGCCGCGAGCCAGGCGGCCAGGAGTACCGGGACGCAGAAGCCGCCTGTCATGGTGGCGCCTGTGAGGTACCTCGGCTCTCTGAGGGCGGGGAGCACTGGCTGGGCTTCTCACCCCAAGCAACCGCCTTCACAGAGGTCTGAGGGGAGGCCAACCCGCCTCAGCGCCGCGCTCCCAGCCACTCCTGCCGAGCCTCCCACAGCCTCCTCTTATCTGCCCGCCTGGCAAGGCCACGCCCAGCCACCCTGGCCACGCCCCCAACGCACTGCGGGAAAGCGGTTGCCAAAGCAACCGTCTGCAGTTTCCCAAGGCAACGGCCTGCTCTTCCTGCTGACTGTCTGGCTGAAAATACACAAATGACCCAGTGCTGCTTAAGTGACTGCCTGCTGTTTCTCTAAAGGGAAACGTGGCCATTGGCTAAACAAACCCATCCCCCATTTCATGTTAGCACAAATATACAAGAATTGTAGAGTGGACGATGGCACCTGGAGGGAAGAACAATTTAAAAGCTCTCTGCATGAACATACTACTGGAGCAGCGTTGCCCAAAGAGGAAAAAACGAGATCAATTATAAAGCTAGATAACGCAGTCGTTTAAAAATAAACTTTTTTTTAAAGTATATAGACTTTTAAAATACGTATATTAACAAAATGAGTCTGTTTGTGTCTATGGCTACTTGCAGTGAAATGGACCCCATTTTTCTTCCAGCTACAATTTTGTCAGACCTAGAATCAGAGTCTTACATGATTTCTGTGTCTTTACGGATACACATTAGGCGAATCTGTACCCTGGAACTACCACACCTTGATGTAAGACTCTTACAATTACAGAGCCCATGAGCTTATTTAGGTGTCTAAATTGTAAAATTCATTGGTGCAGTTAATATAGCATACAAAACGTGGTTTATGTTTCTAGCTTAAAACACAGCTATGCAACTCAGAGTACTTAAGATCAGCCTCTAGTCAATAATAGGAAAGATCAATGTTGCATGCAGAGGTGTTGTCTTTTGTCTGAATCAGTTGTGATAGTATGCGCATTGAGCCTACAATGTCAGTAGAAAGCATTTTACTGTGCTTATAAAAGATTCATAAACAGGAAGTCTATCATTTTCAGTGTAGCAGTTTTAGCACACACACACACACACAAAGGGGGGGATGAATGCAATGTTTATGCTTAGAATTAACTAGCTTTAGAGCATTCAGGGAACTGAAGGTGCAAAGAGCAAGAGCCGCGCAAGTTTAGTCAATGTTGAAGGTAATTGCATCTTTTTCCTGTTATTTGCTTTTGTATAAATTAGTTGGAAATGAGAAATCAAAGAGAGAAGCACAGGAGGCACAAAAGAAAACCATTGCTAACACATTTCTCATTTCTAGCAGAGATTGTTTCCAAAACAATCCAGAGGAGGATGCTTAGAGGACTCAGCATGGATTGTGGGAGAGGCTTTGCCTCTAGGAAGCACAGATCAGGATAGAGGCACAGCTGTCTGCACCCACGATGGCATCAAATCTCCCCCCTCAACCCCCCACCCTCGCGTGCTTCCTAGCCACAAAATTTAGGAGGAAAAAAGACTATCTCTGTTTAAATACAGCTGACGATAAAACCTGCTCTGAAAGGGGCAGATGGTAGAAACATCATTTATATGGCATGACTCAGGAGAGCTGGTTGTTATTTGTAGACAACAGCATACTATAGCATTGATAAGACTCTATACTTTCCACAAAGCCAAAATCATTTAGATCCACACTGTCTCCTTCATAACGCGGCTTTGGTTTTGCCCAACATTCTCATAAGGCCCTGTGTTCCAGTAACAAAAAGCTATGTCCCATTGCTGAAGCACACTATACTTGGTTTACTTACCTCTCCATTCTTCTTACCATCACTCTCTGCCACCATCACAGAGCTCACACTGTACCTCTAACAGCTCTGGCAGAATGGAGCTGCTAACTTCAAAACCAATAGCTCTTCTGTTTGTTTCTACCACACCTCTGTCCAATGTAACACTTTCTTATCACCCTATTGTCTCCTCTCCTCTCCAAAGGCAACTAAGAACTGTCCAAAGTTATGTAGTTACTATGTGTCTCCTAAACAGTGGATTCCAATCTTACAGCAGTCCTTGACATAGACAGTTTCTGGCGTGACTCTAAAGGTCACTCAATTCCTGATATTTAGAATCATGTGTCTTTCTCTCCTCTTGGGTATGGGTTGGGCTAGTGACTTGCTCCTAACTCATAAAATGCAAACAAAGATATGGGTTAGATCTTACCCAATAAGATCACAAAAGCCCAGGATGAGGAAACTCACAAAACCCTATAATAATAGGGTGTGTAAGGGCCCAGAAGAAGCTGAGACACCCCACACATAAACCGCTCAGGTCCCAGTGCTGCTATTGTCATGGCAGAAAGTGAATACCCCACTTCTCAGGATGGGCCTGAGATTAAATACCTTTTGCAGAGAGGATGTCTGGGAAGAAAAGCTATTGGTTATGGCTTCCAGGCCTGTATGTACCTCATTAGCATAGAGATTTGTCTTGAGCCTACATGACCTGTAGTCACGTCCTTTTCCTCATCTACATGTGGAGGGCTTAGGACATTCCCCTTATGTAACTGATGGCCACAAATCTATGGTGGGCTGCAGCTTGTGACAGGGGCCTGGCGCCCAGGAGCAGACAAAGCTCCTACCATTCCTTCGGGTTCCCTAGGGCTTCTAGCCTTAGCTCAATCGGGGACCAAGCTACCTTTAACAGTCCCACATCTGTAGGCTTTGAGGCTTCAAAAGCCTCACCATTCCCAGTACCTGTTCTCTGTTTCTTACTTGCAGATCAAGGTTTAAGCTCTCAGCTGTTCCTACACCCATGTTTTTGTTATGCCATCATGGACTGTAAACCTTCAGAACCATAAGTCCATGTAAACTCTTTTATAAGTTACCTTGGTATCACAGCAATAGAAAAGTAACCAAGACAAAACTGTTTTTAATATATAACCTTCTAGGACATAGGGGAAAATACCTATAGGACTTCTGTATCTATAGCATAGATGGAAAAGCTCCTAAAGTAACATGTATGTCAAATGCTACATTATTCAAAATTTAACCAAGGTCCTTTCTAATGGAATTGAAAAAGACTATCTTAAAAAGTAATACTTAGCTGGGCACCATAGCACCCTGGTACAATTCTATTACTAAGGAGACTAAGGTGGGAACTCTCAGGTTCAAGACCAGACAAGTCTCAAACAACAACAACAACAAAAACATATATAAAATACAAATAAATGATTACAATATCAAAAAAATGTAATGCTTAAAATTAACTAGAGGGGATTTGGAAAGAAGCACAGTGTAGTTCTTGATTCTAATGAACACTAAAATCTACCAGAAAGTTATAAAACAATAATGAGATTTTGGTGTAGAAAATATTAAGTGGACAAACGAATTTGGACGAATATCCAAGATACACAAAATTACATATAAGCGCATTGATTAAATATGTGTGTGATGGTTTGTATATGCTTGGCCCAAGGAAGTGGCACTATTAGGAGGTGTGGCTTTGTTGGAGTAGGTGTGTCACTGTGGGCTGAAGACCCTCACCCTAGCTGCCTGCTTCAGATGAAGATGTAGAACTCTCTCAGCTCTGCTGTCACTATGCCTGCCTGCTTGCTGCCATGTTCCTGCCTTGATGATAATGGACTGAACTCTGAACCTGTAAGCCAGCCCCAATTAAATGTTGCCCTTGCCTTGGTCATAGTTTCCGTTCACAGTAGTAAAACCCTAACTAAGACAATTACATTAAATACAAAATTTAAACATATGCATATGTATTCAAACTTCTACCTATGTTAAAGGTAATATAACACAATAAAGTAGATTCATACAATGATAATAAAAACTACAAAATAATAAATAAATAAATAAATAAATAAATACAAATCTCAGACGATAAACTCATAATTTCAAGTCATGTCAAAAAGACCTCAGAACTAAGAGAGCCATCGGGAAGCTATACAACACACACTATTTCAACTCTAAGTTTTTTTTTCTCTTTTAGTTCAGACTTTCTCTATTACCAAAAAGGGAAGAAGAAATGAACCACACCACAAACAGCTTTTTCATAATCCACAGGAGGACATGCCAATTCACCTTGTTAACTGAATTATTGGGCAGGCTTTAGTCCCAGCATTCAGTGACCTGGAACAGTTCACAATGAGAACTCAATGTGGAAAATATATGAACTTCAGACTCTGTTAATATACTTATGGAGCAGATGAAACGGGTGCAGAGAACATTTTGGGTGGAGAAATAGCATAAAATGAGTGGGTAAGAAGCACACCACTTACCTCAAACTGACAAGGCCAATGGTCAAGGAAAGGAAGTTAATCATGTTACTTATGAACAATCCTTGTTCATCTTTCAACATGTGAAGGTTAGGAACTCATGGCCTATATTTATTCACATATTTATTCACATAACACATTTCTTTGGGATTTATTTTTATAAAGAAATTAAATACAACAAGGACTTCATCCATCCATTGAGTGTACAGCTATGCTCCAATGACAGCATATACAATATACAACATACAATAATAATAATAATAATAAAATAATAATAAACCATAACTGAAGTAATTCTGGTGTGGCTACCAAGTTTTGGTTTTATTTTATACACCTTATTTTAGAACACATTCCTTGATATTTAATCCCAATATTTCAAGCCATACTAAAGACTGCAATTTCCTTACATTTTAGTAAATGTAGAAAACAATTGCACTGATGAATAATTTATATTTCTAATTTACTCTTTTGTCTCTATGGCAAGCTTCTCTCCCTTTGTTTTTACATATGATTTTGAAATCCAATATCAGATACTGATAATAATAGGGACATTCCATACTGGTAGCCAAGTATCTGAAGATTTATTACAATTGGTCACTGATCAAATTAACTCATAAAAGGACTTGTCTTTCATCTGCTCAAACAAGGAGAAAAAAAAATCATCCTTAATTGATCCGTGCACCTTTTCACAATCCGCATGAATATCTTAATGGTACTAAAATTTTGGTTGTAAGACT